TGAGGGGGGTGGGGCCATTACGCATGGGTAGGGGAGCGGCCATTGGCGGTGTATGGCCTCTGTCCTCCTTCATGCCCACGAGTGGGGGGTGAGGGGAAGAGGAGGGAGCACGGAGCCCCAGCTGCGTCACCATCTTACCTGGGTGGGAGTGGGAGGGAGATGCCTCCTACTCTGCCTCCTCCTCTCACTGCCTCAGCCCCAGTGCTACTGCTAGGCAAAATCAGCCCCAGTCTCCAGAGCCACTGTGAAAAGATGGCCTCTGTCCTCCTTCATGCCCACGAGTGGGGGGTGAGGGGAAGAGGAGGGAGCACGGAGCCCCAGCTGCGTCACCATCTTACCTGGGTGGGAGTGGGAGGGAGATGCCTCCTACTCTGCCTCCTCCTCTCACTGCCTCAGCCCCAGTGCTACTGCTAGGCAAAATCAGCCCCAGTCTCCAGAGCCACTGTGAAAAGCTGGCTTCAGCTCCGGCAGCCGCCACAGCCCAGCAGCCAGCAGCTCACGACCCGGCACTGGTTTAGGATGGGGATGGCTGGGAACCACTGGGTTAAACAATATGTTTAATCAGTTAATTAATTAAATGGGAAGGGGGTTGGCTGGGATTAACTTTTAAGAGATAGGAAATAAATTGCCTAACTAAAGTTGCATAGGGATTTTCCTTTTGTTAGTGTTCTCTAGTCAAAACAACACTTTCTGATCTAGTAAGAGTTTATTTTAAACCACTGGTTCTCAAACTTTTAGGCCCATTGTCCAACCCATTCAACACAGACTTTTCCATAGATCACTAGCCAATCATACATGATGACAAAATGGGTGCAGGAGGGGGTAGGAATACAGGGTCTGGCCAAAAGGGAGGGTGCTGGAGTGGGCTGGGAATGGTCTAGGTGGGAGGTTGGATGCAGAAGTAACCTGACCGGGGGACGACGACTGGCCAGGAGGTTGGGTACAGGAGCAGGCTGGGATTGGAAGGTCTCAGCAGGAGGGGGGTACATAAGGGGAATGGAAGTGCAGAGTCTGGGCATGAGGCGGATAAAGTGATGCTTACCTGACTCTGTGTCTCCTGCTGCTTCCAGGCACCGCCTCCTGCTGATCCCATTGGCTTTGGTTCTGGCCAATGGGAGCAGCAGTGAAAGCCTTCAGGTGATCAGGAATAGAAATGTAGTTGTGTTAGTCTGGTCTAGCTGAAACAAAAAACAGGACTATGTAGCACTTTAAAGAGTAACAAGATGGTTTATTAGGTGATGAGCTTTCATGGGCCAGACCCATTTCCTCAGATCAAATAGTGGAATTTGCCCTGTAATCTAGCAGTAAGCTCATATTCCCCATGGTCCAGATCCACAAAGGTATTTAGGCTTCTTCACCTGCACGGATCTGAAGAGCCTGAATGCCTTTGTGGATCTGGGCCCATATAACTGGCTAAATGAGACCAACACACACATACACACACCTTGCAGTTTTCTAGTTCCCTGCCCCCACCATGCCCTGGAAAAGCTGCCTACCCCACTCTAACTGGCTAGTGGCCTAGCATGTCTTCACTGTTGGCTTAAGCTCCCTGTCTGGATCAGTTGCTGTTCCTTGCAAATTCTCTCCTATTCCTGCCCTCAATTCCTAATGTGGCCTCTCTCCAAGAGAAGTGTCTAGAAGCGGCAGCAGGGCACAGTGCGGGAGCAGGTAGTGATGGGAGACCTTCCCTCTTCCTTGTCATAACATAGCAAACTCCCTAGTCTGAAAAATTCCTACAGGCTGGCCCTAAATAGTTAACTTTAAGCTTTCTGATCAGGTCTGTAGGTGAACTGAGATAAAAATCAAGCCAATTTCTTTTTCCAATTAATTGATTAGAGCATGTACTGACAGCATGCCTATAAAAGTGGTTGGGCAACAGAACTGCTCAGTTTGCATATGCAACTCTAAAAAGGAATTTAACAAGCTGGAGCTGAAATGTATTAGGCAATTCTACCTTCTTCTCTCCCTCTCTCCAAGTATTATGAGGATTCAGTAGGCAATGGCTATAAAGCCCTTCAAAGATATGATGAAGTAGTGGAATCATCACCACAGCATGTGACAATAAAATCAACTTGATTTTTGTGTTCTAGGCACTACAGTATTCTGTGGTATATGGACTGCACAGAATCAATTCTGACCCTCTCCACTAGTACTCACAGCTGCTCTCTCCATAGCAAATTGTGCTAATATCTTTGATTCCTCACCCCTACCCTATTAAGGTCATTCTCAGACACTCTTCACAGATCAAGGTGAACCAGTAATAACACAGATATCATACAGTTATAACATGCACCACTAAGAAAATATGCTTGATAAGGGAATTAATTCTGACAGCCACCTATCCCATAAGAGGAGTATGCATGTTTTTATACTGTACTCTTTTGATTTTATTTGCCTCTTTATACCTGGTGGTCTGAGTATTTTGTATAGGCACGATTGTATCCACAACTTAACACCAAATGGCAAGAATTAGCTTAGCTTTTTATTTAATCCATAAACACTCACACACTTTATTTACAGAAAAAGGAATATGAGGGATGGGACAGCTTTATGATTTACCCAAAAATCGCACTGCAAGCCCTTGGCAGAGCTGGAAACATAACAGGATCTCTCTACATCCTCTTCCCCTCCCCACCATCACTCTGCCCTGGCTGATTCCTCCTTGTTCTACATCTGGTCTTAAGAAAACCATGAACTTACAGTGTATCCTACAGGCAACTTCTGCCTAGGAACAATCAAGGAAGTCACCCTAAAATGCTGGCCCCCACCTCAGAAAAGATTGCAC